TTTTTCTGATTTTCTCATTTCAGGTCTAACCTATGGATTCCACCCGGGCATCTCAGCTCTCCCTTCCTGTCCTAATATTCAATCAGCAAAAATTTTTATGCACTTTATGATTGGACCATTCTCTCCCCCACCACTCAAGGTTTCATGCATTTGTCCAATAAGAAGTGCAACTCGCAAATTCTACAACAATGGTTTCTTTCTAACAATTGCAAAATTTCCCATCTTATCCAACTTTAGATGATGTTCTAATCACTCCCCCCCCACATTGCCTCCAGCCAAACACCTAGAGATCAACCAAAAGGTTTTCGCCAATCTAGGTATTCTGCTTGCAGACGGCTGGACCCAATACATTTATCGAAATTCTAGGCATCAACTTGGATTCGCACAAATTCCAAGCTTCTCTTCCTAAAGAGAAAATTGGCTGAATAATTTCTCTTTCGCTTATATTATAAGAAAGAGCCTTGAATTAAACACATACTGTTATCTATCCTCGGCCACCTAAAATTCATATTGCAAATTTACCTCAAACTTGCCTACTCCAGCTCCCTACCACAAGTCACGATTTAAAAGGCACAATTTCTCTCTCAAAACCCACCCACAATGTACTCCGCTTATGGATTGCTTCCTTAAGCTATGGAACGGCTGTTCCTTCTTCTGCAGAGATTGTTTGGACCCCCATTAGATATTCGCCTATTTACTGGTGCTACCCCATCAGTTGGATTCGAAGGGTACTCAGAGGCCACTGGTTTGCCACCACATGGCCCCCTCAATCGATTTCCACTCTAGAAAACCATTGTTCATCAGCTTTCTTCAAACTGTACCCAATAGTCGCTGCCGCCATACTATGGGGAGACGAATGGTCCACCTCTAGAATTCTCATTCATTGTGATGAGGAAGACACAGCATAATGCATAGACAAAGGCGTTCCTACTCTCTAACCTTTGATGCTACTTTTAAGATGTCTTATTTGACGTCAGACAATTTATCATGTCTGCTTAATACGTGCCAGGTTGCAAAACCAAATCACTGACTCTCTCTCATTTTTCTTTCCAGAAATTTTGGTCACTGGATACAGAATTGGACCCCAACTCAACGCTTGTCCGTCCCTGTCCAGAAATGACATTACCTTAAGCTACCTCCTTTATAACCTTCCACTCCATATAACTCCATATCCCTTATCCTTAAAGTAGTAGCCCACAGACCCTTCAGTCACACATCACAGCATGAATCATTCAAACTCAACCCCTCACTCCAATCCACCATAGCAGATCTAATTTTGTGTGATGAGGAAAGAAAGGGTTTCCTCATCCGGCAAAGTAAGATAGATCAATTTGACAAAGAACATTTCATTTACATCTTTAACATTCCTGCCCTCACCCACCCCCTCCAAACTCTCTAGCATACCTACACTTAAGGGGATCACAAGAAACAAACCCCCTAGTCCACCTTTTTTACTGACGACGCTAATCGTCCAGTATTACGTCTCTGGTTCCAGAAACACCTCAAAGTTGTCTGCCTCTCAGGATTTCCTCCTGAACCATTCTCCAGCCATTCATTCAGAATTGGCATTATTAAAAGGCTTTCCCAGCACCATATCCAGACCCTCGGTCATTGGTTCTCTGAAGCCTTTCAAATCCTACATTTGCCTCAGTCTTTTCATCCCAAATAACCCAAGTTGTTTCTTTTAAACCTCTCAGCCCAATCTTGGCCACCCCTTTATTCTCTAGCCAAAGCCATCTATCTGTCCATCTCTAGCAAAGCCCCTCACAGCTCAGACTCCCGCAGGAGTAAATATGAGCTTAAGCTCACGCAGAGCCTAACCTAACCCTTAACTTTCTGTTCCCCCTGCCAGCATTGAGTGCTTCTGCTGTTCCCTCCTAGTTCTTTACTCCCCGCCTTTGACTCTCATGTAACCTCCTTGCTACATCAGCATCACCCTAAGCTCAGATTCACGCAGGGGTCAACACAAGCTTTGGCTCTCCCAAGAGCCTCCCCTTTCACCCTCTCTTTTCTGTTACCCCCGCCAGCGTTGAGTACTTCCGCTGTTTCCTCCTAGCTCTTTACCCCTTGCCTTTGGCCCTCTCATAACCTCCCTGCTCTATCTGCATCACCCTAAGCTCAGACTCCCGCAGGGGTCAACACGAGCTTTGGCTCTCATAAGAACCTCACCTATCAACCTCTCCTTTCTGTTTCCCCTGCCAGCGATGAGCGCTTCTGCTGTTCCCTCCAAGCTCTTTACTCCTTGCCTTGACTCTCAGCTAACCTCCTTGCTCCATCTTAGCATCACCCTAAGCTCAGACCCCCACAGGGGTCAACACGGGCTTCGGCTCTCGCAAGAGCCTCACCTATCACCCTCAACTTCCTGTTTCCACTGCCAGCATTGAGTGCTTATGCTGCATCAGTCACTACATATATCCTCATTTCCTTTCTACAACTATCTTCGTCTGGAAGAAACCCCCCTCCTCCTCTTCTTCCTCCTTTTTCCAGAATGGGCGGCACGGTGGCTCAGTGACTAGCACTGTTGCCTCACAGCAAGAATACCAATGGTGTTGGGTCCTCGCTGAGCCATCTGGTATTTCTGTGTGGAGTTTGCATGTTCTCCCCGTGTCGGTGTGGATTTCCCCCGGGTTCCCCGGTTTCCTCCCACCATCCAAATGTGCTCTATATTATAGATAAAATAAGCCTGAACCTTTTTTATAATGTCTTGCTCTCAGGAAGTTCACCTTGGCCTCAGCAGCAGGGGAGTTTGAGATAGACCTGAGCTCAATCTCCACTCGCCCTGCAAAAGGGGGTGCCCTGGGCTCGAGGATCCCTTGAGCTTAGGGCTCTCTCCCGGGACAGCATGCCAAACAAGCTATGTATAAATCATGAGATAAGTGTGAACTCTTGAAATAGCCTTTAAAACGCACACAAGGCGATGGAGGTGCACTTAACTCACAAGGGAGAAAAGTGGGTGACGTTAACTATTTATTTAAACACAACTCTCTTGAGCTCTAAACGGAAGGAACACATAAGCAATCTGCTGTTAAATTTTAAATTTTAGCAGAGACGCAACTGCCAGTCATTTTCACATTAGTTATTTGGAAAGATGTTGCCTAAAAATGTATTAATAAAAATAAATAGTTCACTGCACAGTCCCACAGTAGGCTACACTATAAATAATATTTAAATTTATTCATTTATATTATTATTAATATTATTACAATTAAGCTAAAATTGACAAAACGCACAACCCTTTTAATGTTTGCTTTCATTTTGCTAAAAAGCGCACTTTTACAGTTGTGAAGAGAAACATCCCATTATGCAGCAGCAGTCAAGGTATAACACTTAATGAATGCCTTTTGCGTTTAAAAATGATCAGCCTGTGACGTCAAGTTTGCAGTGTTATAAATGGAATAGGTATATATTGCTTAAGTGGATTTGCTGTGGATCAACTGAGAAACCTCACACATGCTGCAGGTAGGTTAAGAATTAATAATTAAGAATGATAATCTTTTAAAAATATGTAATTTATAGGCTATACTGCTATTTGCTCATGCAAAATTTAACAACATAAAATATATTGTAGATCTATTTTAAGAGCTAAAATACAGTTAGCATATCGAGTTTGTTTTGACTTGTAGCTCGGCCCTAAAATGAAAATAACCTGAAAACAAGTTATGAAAATAGGCTTAATAGATAAATAAAATGACGGGTAGGCCTAGTAACCTAATGGTTTGTGATGGTTTACAAATGACAACTAAACAATATCACAAAAAAAAAAACACTTATGATAGCCTAAGATAAATTTTATTTTTACATTTAAAATTATGAAAAAAGTTATATAGCCTGAGTTGCGTGTTATCAGTGCCAAAATGTAAGCAATTTTTACGGTAATAACTGTGAATTTTGGTATCTTTTTTAGGTTTTTTTTTTTAAGGTATTTTTGGCTACACTAATGCCTTAAAATGTAACTAAGTAATTGTTTTAAATGACATTAGATTGTAACATTTTGCTTTTTCCTAACACTGATGTTGGTTAGGTAATAGGCTACGTGAAGCACGACGACTCGGTTGTGCTGATTTCACTATTTATTTACCAGTTATATGAATAGTCTGATCGTGGGTCAGCTTGCATGTGTGGGCATAATTTGACGTCTTTACCTAAAACTTTAAACATTCATAGGCCTTTTATTTGAAATAAAACGGAAATAAATAAGGAGAATAACATATGATATAAAGCACTCGTTTGACACTGAAGCCATGATCCGTTTGCATTAATAAGCGGTATGCATTATTGCATTATTAATAAAATTAGTAATAGCGAAACTGTAATAGTAACATTATTATTACTATTAAAAAGTATATTAATGCCTTAGGTCAGTAACTTAGGCAGTAATGCAAAGTATTAATAAATGTGAATAAATAGCCTAAATGAAAGGAACAAGAGAGATGAAAATCAGACACCAGGTCTAGTGCCCAGGTCTTACAGCCAGATGTTGGTTGATGCGCTCCTCACATTCCACTTCATTTTTTTTAGATAACCTTGTATCTGGCATACCTGTTAATGGTATCTCTTATCGGTACAATGTAAAGATTGCTGCCATCATTCAGCAGAATACGGTGGGGGTGAATGTAATAAAGTTAGGTTTTTCATTGTGAATTTTCCTGAATTATGCAGCAGTTATGTGTATTTTATGATGTAAGGGTGCCCTCATGTGGTTCGTTTGGGGTACTGCAGACATACAAGTTAGACAGGAAGTGACGTAACACATCAGATCCTGTGAGTAGGTGTTTTTCATGCTCTGTCTTAATTTATCAATATGAACTTAAAAAAGTAGCGATTTCGCACATTTAGTTTATAATTCAGTTTTATTATCATTGAGCATTCATTGTGACTTGTAACATGTAGTTTTTGTTTTGTAGCTTATTCTCTTAATGAGTTATAGGTGTGTTTTGAGAATAAACCAATCAGAGTCTCATCTCCCATTTCCTTTAAGAGTCAGTTGCGTTGCACCATGGCAATAGTATGATCCTGCACAACTGGAGTAGCTGCACTCTCAGGACCGCATGTTTAGGACCGCATTTTTAGGACCCTAGTTTTTTGCGGAAGCGCCACCTACCGGATTGGATGACATAGTAAAACTGCATTTCTAGGACCCGTTTTGTAACTGCGCCACCTACCGAATTGGATTATATAGCGGAAACTTTCAGGCACTTTTATTACAGAGGTTAAAGTGTAAAACGCCTGCTTTAAGTAACTATTTTAAAATGAAACAAATGAATTTACACCTAAAATATAAATGAATAAATAGAGTTGAGTGCCTTAAAAGTCTTAAATTCCTTGAAAAATACTGAATATTGATGAACCCCATTACATTGAACTAATTAGCTCAGTATTAAGGAAAATAAATTGAAATCAAATGGGATCAGCATTTGCAGTTACTAATTTAAAACCAGGTTGTAAAGGTTTTAGAGAGACAAGACGCAAGGATGATTCAAGAATGTACATTTATATAAATATCCACACTTTTATTTTTATTAATGCAATTCAACCACAAAAATGACCCCACTGTTTATTCAGTTGTTGCATTCAGACTGGCTGTAGACTTTAGCTCCTGTGAATGAGAGTGAAGAAGAAAGTTCAAGTATATATATATACACACATATACATACATATATACATACATATAAATACACACACACACACACACACACACACACACACACACATATATATATATATATATATATATATATATATATATATATATATATATACATACATACATACATACATACATACATACATTTATATACATACACACTGGGGTAAATAAGTATTCAACAAGTTCCCATTTTTCTCAGAAAACATATTTCTAAAGGTGCTATTGACCTGAAAACCAAAGAAAAAATATATATGAATAGAAAACAAATCTAATTACTTAACAAATTGTTATCAACATCTGGTGAAAATTTCAAGTCAACAGCACCTTTATAAATATGTTTTCTGAGAAAAATGGAAACGTGTTGAATATTCAATTCAATTTCAATTAATTTTATCTTTATTTATAAAGCACTTTTACAGTGTAGATTGTGTCAAAGCAGCTTAACATTTATTAAATTCAGTTCAGTTCAGTGTGGTTTAGTATTCACTGCTGAAAGTCCAAACACTAAAAAAAGCAAATCCATCGATGCACAGTTCCACAAGTCTTAAACCAAGCAAGCCAATGGCAACAGTGGAGGAACAAAACTTTACAAATTGATGAAAGGGAAGGAATAAACCTTGAGAGAAACTAGGCTCAGTTGGGCACAACCATTTCTCTTCTGGCCACACTTCACGTGCAGAGCTGCAGTCTAGGCGCTTGAGGCAAACATTGGGCGTCCATCGTGGAGAAGCTGCAGGTGTGAGTAGGTCACCAGCTGGTTTTCAGGCTGGACCACAGGGTCAATGTGGGCACTCATCTGTCACTGGGGTCTTTCATTAATCAGTCTCATGCTCTCCACTTCTCCATGACCACCACAGCATCTGCTCATGATACGGTCTGTTTCAGGATTATGGATACATTTAGAAGTCCTCTATGGTGGCATCATCTCTTCACAGGTTACGATCTCTAGAGGCCTCTGGATGAATATCCCCAGGTGGAAATAGGGAACAAGGAAAATAATTAGCGCAGCTGCTGTTCATAGTGTATTTAAACAAGAGATAATAAATATCAAGACAAAAATAAAGTGCTAAGAGATAAATAGCAGTTATATGAATAAACATGAAACGCACATCATTATTTATAACAAAATGTCTGGTGCATTAAGACAGCAAGAGTGTTCCCTCCAAGTGGTTTGTCAATCCCACTCACCCGCATAGAGCACATAGGGCAGCACAGTGGTTAGCACCGTCGCCTCACAGCAAGAAGGTTGCTGGTTCAAGCCCCGGCTGGGCCAGTGGTCATTTCTGTGTGGAGTTTGCATGTTCTCCCCATGTTCAAGTGTATGAGTGTAAATGGGTGTTTCCCAGTACTGGGTTGCAGCTGGAAGGGCATCCGCTGTGTAAAACATATGCTAGATAAGTTGGCGGTTCATTCTGCTGTGGCAACCCCTGATGAATAAAGGGACTAAGCCGAAAATGAATGAATATATATATATATATTCTTGAATATGTAAAACAATGTATATGAACTCAAAAGGTTAATCAATTGTTATGAAATTAAATTTAGATTAATATTTAATATAAGAGGTATAATAACAAACATTTGCTTTACAGTGTTAGCTATAATATATATATATATATATTTCTGGCTTAAGCGTATGCACTGTTGGGAGAACCAAACAGGAAACTACTCCCAACTTCATATTTTTAAGTATATAAGAGCAATACCCACCTATTGAATGGTCTCCCTTCTTTCGTCAGTTGTTTGTCAATCTGTCTGTTAAATTCTTTTACTTCACTGAAATAGAGAACAATCACTGTTGAGTTAACATATATACCAGTAACAAAAAGGCTCTTTGAGCATTGTGCCAAAATTAACCATATTCTGACCTGTAATGATAATCTTTACCAGAAAGAAAGACCTGCTCAGCATCATCCAAAGACCAGCTCCTCAAGACACCCAGAGCATGTACGATGGCCTATGAAAAAAAAATCATTTAAATATGAACTAAAATACCACCACAGAACAGCAAATCATTTTACATGGATTCATAAATGAGTAGCACCCAGCATGCAGTTTATATACTTATTTGGCCAGACATTACTCTGGAAAATGAACACCACAGATAAGCTGCACTTCATCATAGATATGCATAAACTCAAGAACGCAGCTAGCATTTGTAACTGTATTTATAAACTGCTTTTCAATGTCTATTAAATGTAGAGTTAATGCTAAACAAATAAAATTTTAATAAATTAACTAGTTATATAATGCTTAATAATTATTTATTTATAGTATGCAGATGTTATAAAGTGTTACTCAACAGTTTGAGATAACCTCAATGAAAATATTCTTGTAGTTTGTTTTCTTTTCCTCCTACAATGAGCCTAAGCAATCCAATCATATTGGCCATCACTTCTTATTCGCCAGGTAAAACATACCTGATATAAATTAAAGATATGAGATTCTATATGGTTAAGACCTGCAGAATAAGCCTAACTTTCAGAATCTCATTCATCACTGTAAAACAATGACAAAACATCAGGCTAATAACACATACAGTATTGTGGGGCAAACAGGCAGTCAGCACAATTTTTAATGTGCTAATGTAATACAACGAATAACACGAATTCAGTAAAATATAGATAAATCTGAAACTCCTACATCAAACGTGCTTTTACCATCTTAGTTTAATGCATGTCACTAAGCACATTAGCCGTTAGTCAACAAGCCATTAAATCAACAATGTTTCATTAAACCATGGTCACGAACTACGAACGTCATATAATCAAACTAGAAAACGAACTCTAGAAAATTATTAACAGTTATAGCAGCTCTCACTCTGGCTGTGTAAAATTATCCATATTTATTATTATAATGTTTTATTCTTCTTCTGGAAAAAAAAATCGTCACGTAACATTTTTGTCCCAGACCCTTAAAAGTGGGGTAAATCATGCAGGCTAATCTGGCATTTCTGCATAAACTCACAGTATAAAACAGCAGCATTACAAAATAAACACATACTTTAACAGTTTAAAATAAAACTTGATAGAAAAATCGGTACTTACACTTTCCTTGTCATCCGTGTCGTCATGATCCAATCCGACAGGTGACGCTGTCACAAAAAAACAGGGTCCTAAAGATGCGGTCCTAAAAATGCGGTCCTGAGAGTGCAGCTACTCCAGTTGTGCAGGATTACCCTTCTCCACCATGGTGCATTTGCTATTTACATGGCGGACTTTGTAAGTGGAACATAGATAACAGTTAAACAGACCATTTACAGTGCGAGAATGAGAAATGAGCCTCCTCATTCTTTACCTTCACTTTCACTCTCATGGATAGGGAAACGTGTTGTACGCATAGACATCCATTAGCCTATAATTTTGTTTGTTAAGCATAAAGATTTGTTTCAAATCTCTTTCTAAATTCAGTTCTTATTTTCAGCAAATGAATAAATGAACAATAATAATAAAGTGTGCTCAAAAAACTGAGTTATATCCAAATACACATGCTATGCCTCATTTAGTCTAAAACCTGACAGGTGGGCAAATCTAAGCTTGTTTTTAATAAAAACAAATATAAATATGCATATAATAAATAATACTGCTATTAATAATTATGCCGCCCTTAGTCACAACGCAAAGGCTGAGGCAGAGGTCACGTTAGACATTTTCCGTCATTTTGACGGAGAGGGTTGTAAAAATTCCATCATAACCTATTATTGACCGTCAATTAATTTGCATAATTTGCATTTTTCTAATCGCTTTTTTCATTGATATATTTTAATGATGAACTTGCACGACGAGCATATAGGCTAAATTATTCATTTATTTATTCGACAAATGAACAATTACCCATATCTGCCTTACCTCATATCGTCCTCCTGCGTCGACCTGAACTGGGTGCTTACCTGTGCGTAATCAAACGCATCAAGAGAAACTGATGCAGAGGCAATTGTCATTAAATTCTGTGTCTTTGCCTCGCTACAAATTACAATAGATCATCCTCAGCATAATCCGTCAAAATGATGGATCACCTTCAGATTTTTTCGTCACTGCTGAAAAAAATCTGTCAATGACGGAAAATATTTAGCTAACGCGACCTCTGGGCTGAGGTTCCTTTTTTCAGAGATGTTTAATGCACTTATCGACACAGATGCCGACATCAACACAGTAGAACTGAATAAATGAATACAATAACAACATCAGACACATTCACATACATAAGAATTAAGCATACAACCCTAAAGGGTACATAGTTTACCCCTTATTTTATGATTTAATATTAATATTATGGTTCTTCTGAGTGTGCCAGTTTAGGTTCAGTTCAAAACACAATTCAGAAGTTTTTATTATAATGTGTTAAAAAGTGTTATTTTGGGGGCGTGTACACAGCTCGCTATTTTAGGGGTGTGTTGCTTCACATGAAAATTTGTTTCAAATTCCCGCCCAACGTAACAAGGGGGTGGAGCCAAGAGCTCCCCCACTCTGTGTTTGGCAACAAACAGGCAGACAGAGAGAAGCAAGCAGCATGAATGAGAAGATCAGCATTCAGCCGTACATGTATGACTCGGACACAGACCAAGCAGAGAGTACAAAATCATTTGTGTCTTTGTATAGTTTTACAGCCAACTGTGTGCTAGTTTAAAGGTCTGAACTTGTATACCAAGACTAATAACTAGGGATGTAACGGTATTGTAAATAGCAATTAGCAATAGCAATTTTTTTTAATATTACCATAGTCGCATGACTAGCACACTGTTCAGATTGATGCAGACATTGACTAGTACCGCAAAGAGACCTCTATCTCACTCATGGCTTGTCCTCTCAAGTGGTGGAAAGACAATGCACAACGTTACCCACTGCTGTCAACCTGGGCCAAGTCATATCTCTGTCCCAGAAACCTCAGTCCCAAATGAGAGGTTTTTTTTCTGTTGCAGGGGACATTGTAAAAGCCCAGAGATACCAGCTTTTACCAGATTATAGTTATATGATAATTTTACTTAAAACCCATCTCTATCTAAGTGAGTGAGTGAGTGATTAAATGTTGAATGTGATGAGTTTTCAACAATACTAAATTGAAACATTATTTTTTTACATGGTTTAATAATTTTTTGTTATTAAAATTGAAAAATTGAAGTTCCTGTTTCAAAGCTTACAGATAGATGGCTAATTTATTTGTCATTGACACTTTTGGCACTTTTTTTTGGGGTATTTTCATGAGTTTTGTTTTTCCTGTAAATGATTCAATAAATACCGTACCGTGCCATTCATACCGAGGTATTACCATACCGTGAATTTCTGATACCGCTACATCCCTACTAATAACCAATTAATAAGAACTAATAACTGAATTAACTTTGACTGAGGCACCGGTTGACCTGCTTAGACATGGACATTCGCATGTTCAGATGGCGCTCTGTGGTGCGGCAGAAACATGAAGTGTCTCAAATCCTGGCTGGGTGCCACAGACAGCCACCGACTTGAAGCGCCATTGTGTGTACCCTGATAGAAACCTATGTTTAGAATTCTAAAATGCATGGCGCTGCGTGGCGCGACGCTGTGTGTCACCGAGCGGCACTTCTGGTTTGCGACCTGGAGGCAAGTTTGCTATTTTATTTCCAATGGAGCGACACTCATGTGAGTCAAAGATGCTTGCACTTTACAGCTGCACCTTGTTAAGATCACACTCACAGGGAGCTTCTGTGACCTCGAGAAATCCAAACACCTAAGGTTTAAGATAGACGCAATGAAAAGTACATTAGTTTCCAAACCTACCTACAAACAAAGTTAAAAACAATAATTCCGATTAGAGCGATCATGTGGTGAATGCTGATCTTGTGTTGAGTCCAATGAGCCTTACATCTAAAAATAGAGCAAAGGTGTTCCTATTGTGACATTGTTTTGACTCACACGCTGAAAATGGCGGACGTGAAACGACAAACTGAGGATTAGGTGATGCGTGCCTGTCAGTCAATATTTGTGGCGGGGGGACCGCACTCCTATGTCAAGTTGCAGTCAATCTAAAAACCGCTCTACTGGGTCTACCATTTTTATGTTGTTAATTTAAAAATAAAAGAACTGGGTGTGTTTATATCACCCAAATATGACAGTCTACACACTATACTTACACACATGTCTGTTCAAACAGCTTAAAAAGTAGATTTTCCACCATAAATGCCCTTTAAAGTCATTAATGAACAAAAATTCATTCACATACCACTTTGCCTGCTTGTAAACTAAGAGAGGAGGGGTACATCCTTTAATTTCTTGATTATATCACTTTTTGACTCACAAAAAACATCCTTAAATCTTGCTGTTACTTTCCGGTTTCACTTTCATGCGAGTGCCCAACCCAGAAGTAGTATTTTTGCTGGGCAAGATGGGAATGAAATTAAAATATGTCCAAAACCTTTAGAATGAAAAGATTTTGCTCAAATAAACCATAGATCAGTAAATAAATCAACAATAAGCATCTTAAAATTATCAAAAATGATACATATTAAACTAATCACAAGTTATTGAAGTAAACGTTTAACGTTTAAAGTACACAAGCACCATCTAGTGGAAATAAAATATCACTGCTTTGACAGCAGTTACACTCCCACCATCACACTATGTGGGATCATTACATTACTAAGTTATGCATGTTAAAGAATTTTAGTGAACCTTTGTACAAGTTAGGTTTACACAAAGTAATTTCCCTCTGTTTAACTCCCTAATCATCTTTAACAATGATTACTGTTTTGTGTATCGGTCTTTCTAAATAAACTGGCTTACTTGTGCGTGCACCTTTACTATCGAGTGTTGCATTACTGACAAGTAGCTTAAAGGGCCATGAAACCCCCTTGTTTCAGCAGGGTGTTTTCACACCTCTATTTTGGAAAAAGTCAGAAAAGTGGGCGTGTCCAGCTCTGTTTAGGGGGGAATGTTTCGGAGGAACTAAAGTGGGAGGGTGTGGGAGTGTCTATTTGGGCACGCGCCAGTTTCAGAGTCAAAATAAACACACAGGAGAAAGTGATGGTGTTTAACCTACATGGACATCTGTAGTCGAATTATTTGCCAAATTATTAAATGTTGGACTTTAACAGCAGTTTGGCTCTTTCATTCAGGGAATTCATTCATGCCCCTTGCGACAAACGAGATATTTGATTCGAGGATCTGCTCTAAGCGTGTATTTTTCATGCAATGTTTGATACCGCACGGTGAATGAGAGAAAAAAAACCTCCGCATTTCCCGGAAACTTAGATGCACACTGCAGGTAGCGTCAACGTGGCGTCTCTGTCGTGTAAACACGGTGACAATGAATGAATATTAATGAAGTTGCACAATAGAGCGCGCTGATTGGTTTGAACCAAGCTTTACTCATGCATTAATGCAGCAGGCTGTAAGACGTAATAAGACACACTCTGGCACAGATGTCCAGTCTGCACGCTGGAATACAATGCTATTATGTCATGACCGTGACGCAGCTTCAAAAATTTGTTTCAAACCAGAAGTACGAATTTACTTGAAATAATGCAAAAACAACCAATTTACACTTTTTAGTGAAATATAGGTGTCCTAAAAGTGTTTTTAGCAGTGTGGGACACATATTCACCTTATTCTCAGCTGGCAAATGGGCGCTGCCATTTGAATCTTTTTGTCTCGCGACTTCCGGTCACATTCACTTCCATTCATTTTTTGACGTTAACAACTGCTCGTTACGCTGCTTGATGTTGCAATTTAATATTTTCTTATTATATTATGCTACTTGGTCTGTGTAGTCATGCAAACATTTGTTTGTTGAGCACGTAGTTTGACCATTTTCTGCCGTTTATTATTCCTAGTCATTTTTCCCATAGGCGACTGAATCGGAAGTTCTAAGACAATCGCGAAAACAGGCGCACTTCCGCATTTTAGAATAAGGTCAATACGACTGTCAACAGCTCAAAAAATGTGTTTTGGTGTTTCGTGACCCTTTAAGCCTTCTCTCTCTATCATCAGCTCCTGGAACAACTTCTACTACCTTGGCTAGCTTCCACTGATTTCGAGGTGCTAAGTCATCTTCTAGCAGAACAAAATCTTACCAGAATTTTTTTTTCTGAGCATTTCTCCTGCTCTTATGCCACTTATTTTTCTGCTGTAGACTCATCAGATATTCCTTTCTCCACCTGGTCCAAAACTCATTCGCCAGAAACTGAACCC